TAATATCTGAGTGTAATATCGTGGACTTTTGCATGGAAAACCTTCTTAACTAGGGTCAATAGATTGTTCGGTCGTTGAGTGTGATATTCCTTTCTTTGGCAGTTTGTCAAACGTCATACGTTTGGCAATGACACATCAGAAACGGTTTTAAAAGAATCATTTCGTTTGCTGTAGCGGGTAATCTGTTGGGGTGGCTTAGTCATGATGATCGTTCGTTACGAAGGTATGTAGAAAATGACTTGTGTATCGTATTGCGTATAAAGTAATTTACTTATTTATTTATTTTTTTTTAAAGGAATAATTTCCAAGCGAGTGCATGGGACACACGAGAGGCAGCAGTTGAGGCGTTCCGAGCTATTCTTAAAGCTATGCCCTCCAAAAGTCAGGTTGTTTTACCACGAATCGACAATGTTTCTCGACTGAATCTGAGGGATGCTGTACGCACTTATCATCCGTTACTCAGGTAAATTAATGGTTGTAATCTAAAGTTGTTTTGATGATGGAAAATTGACGATGTGAAAAATGAAATACTTTGATTTGTGAATTACCAAGTTTTAGCTGCGAAGCGGAATTGGTGACACGAATGGGTGTCTGTAGTTTTGGTGAACAACGGAAATTGGTTGATGAACAGCTTGATTTCCAATCTGTCGTTGGTATCTCATCTGGAACATTCCTTTCGGAGGATGATTTCAGTTCGTCTGGAAATATCAAAGAGACTATTCCGGAGAAAAAGGTTTGTTGGTTTTTCTTAAATCAATAAAATAATATCACAGTAGAAAAATTTGAAATATCGTTGAGATCTTTGATTTGTTGGCATAAATTTAGTTTTAATAGACTGGTTTTGATTACAGTGAATGCATTTTGCTGGCGTTATTTATTTTCTAGAACTCTGGTTCCTTATATTTGCATTTAATTTGCAGTATACCTTCCTTTTTACTGATTTACCTTTTCTTGCATGCACCAAGTTTGATTGCAAATACAAAGTCGTTCTAGTCCGTGTTTACATTTCGTGAGATGAATTTAAACACCTCATGCTGTAAAAACGAAAATTCTCCATCATTCTTCAAATGCTGGGCGGCATCGCACATAGTCCTTGCTAATGTCGATATTTATGGTACTGTTTCTGTAGAATTCCAATGAGCCATTCTTTCATAGATGTTAAATTTTCAGTTAGATCTTGTAACTGCCGATACCATTAGCTGTGATGACAGCTTAGAAGAGCTAGATGCGGCAGTATATTCAGTCTGTATCCAGTTGATGCGTGATGTAGTTGATGTGAAATGGGAAATTCGACATGGAGCTGCTTTGGCAATCGCTTGTATCTTAACAGTTGCCCCATCACGGTGTGTTGGAGTATTTAGATAGTGATTTCGAGTCGTAAAAAAATTTCATTTAATGAAATCATGTAAGGATTTAATTGGGAATCTCTTTTTCGGAAAATTTCAATTGATTACTCTAATCTAAGCAGGATTGGATTTTAAGGCTTTCTCCGTCATTGGTGGACGTTCTAGCAACTAGGCTTCTCCAGGCTATTGCGCTCGACAAATTCATTGATTTTTCTTCCGGAAGGTCGGTAGTTTGCTCACTTTTGGCTAAATTTTCTCGAATCACAGGCAGTTGAAATCTGACACTAAATCTTTTTTTAAACTCTGTAGTCGTCCTTCATTTACCATGTCCAAGTTCATTTCTTTATCTGAATTTCCGAAAATTCTAAATTCCATATTTTTCCCGTACGTATGCTTACTTTAGGACAGCAGTAGGTCCGGTTCGAGAAGCAGTTGCAGAATGTATTGCACGTCTGACAATGGTTTTTCCATCTCCAGAATTTGTAGATATCATTTTTGATCATATATATACGTTACATAAAATGGCCGATGGTATTCAAGCTGATTGTCACAGCGCTAATGATTTGGAATCTTATAAACGCGTAAATTTTGCATATAATGTGATTAGGAAAATTCTATAAATATATATATATATATATATATATATATATATATATATATATATATATATATATATATATATATATATATATATATATATATATATATATATATATATATATATATATATATATATATATATATATATATATATATATATATATATATATATATATATATATATAGTAGTAGTTAGTTAGTTAGTTAGTTAGTTACGTTA